GGGCAGGTGATGAGGAAAGAGGGGCGGCGGCGGCGGCAGCAGTAGCGGCTGTGGGCCATCCTCCTGTCCAAGGCAGGGTGGCCAGACACCCTCAGGACAGCAACTACACAAAACAAAGACAACAGCCAGAGCAAAGCAGGTTTTTCATTCAAGATATAACATGTGCCTATGTAAAAACCCTTAGTAACGAAAAGTTCTGATGCTTAGTGTTGAATTTGCTTTTTAAATGACATCTCCATGCCCCATCCCTCTCCAGGAAGCTCTTTTCCCTTCATAGCCAGGATTACATCCTGTTTCTGAGACTAGCTGGTGGCAGCGGGAGGCAGGGACCACGACTTCGTAAAACTACAGTCGTGCCCCGCTTAACGATTATCCCGCACTGCGACGAATCCACTTCATGACGATGTTTTTGCAATCGCAATTGCAATCGCAAAATGATGGTCTAAATGGGGCTTTTTTGCTTTGCAAAGATCGGTTCCCTGCTTCGGGAACTGATTCTTCGCATTATGATGATCAAAACAGCTGATCGTCGGGTTTTCAAAATGGCCGCTGGGTGCTTAAAATGGCTCCCTGCTGTGCTTAGGGACAGATTCCTCACTATGCAGGCACTGAAAATGGCCGCTGTATGGAGGATCTTTGCTGGATGGTGAGCTTTTAGCTCATAAAGGAGAAAACAGTTTTCAATGTGTTTCAATGGGCTTTTTAATTTCACTTTACAACATTTTCACTTAACAGCGATTTTCCTGGAACGGATTATCGCCATTAAGCAAGGCACCACTGTACTTCAGAAGGAAGACTTACTAGGGAGAATTCCTGGCAGGGGAATCATTAAGCATCCAGCCTGTTGACTCCCTCTTGCAAATAGCTTCCCAGTCTCCACTGTGGACTTACAAAGGAAATATGGAACTCGGGCTGTCTCACCATAGGGTTTTTGAGACAATCCCAACTCCAGATTTCTGTTAATAATTAAATCACTTAAAGTCTGGTATTGGAGGAGAGCTTGAAGTATACCGTGGACCACCAGAAAGACAAATTAAGTGGGTATAGATCAAACTAAGCCTGAACCCTCTCTAGAAGCAAGTGAGGCTATCCTGCTTTGGCACATCGAGAAGACTAGAAAAGACAATAGCTGAGGAAAAAGATTGAGGGCAGCAGGAAAAGAGGAAAACCTAATATGAGATGTATTGATGGAATAAAGGAAACCACAGTCTTGAGTTTGCAAGACCTAAGCAAAGCTGTTAATGAGAGGACCTTTTGGCCATTAATTGACAGGGTAGCCATAGGCTGGAAGTGACTTGAGTGCACAATACAACATCATGGAGTTGGAAATCTCTTTTCATGAACTAACATTTATTTGGACCTGTATGCGGAGGACTACTCTAACCCCTGCATCATAGAGCTGCAGTGTTGAAAGGAAGTCAACTGAACACTGGCGACAAGACTTTTCAGGGTTGCTGGTTTTTTTGTTTGTATGCATCTGTTCATTTGCTTTGCAAAGTGCCGCCTGTCCTTCCAGTGCTGAGTCAGTGGCAAAGAACATTAGCCCATACTAACCTCTGCTGTCTTGGCATTAACAGGAGTATGTTCGCACTGACATACTGTCTGCCCGTTGGCTACCTAGTGAGTTCCCTGGAAAAAGAGACAGAAAGATCATACAATGTAATTCCCACCTTTCCAGGTTTTCAAAAGATCACAAGAAGAGCCAAGTTGGATCAGACATGATAGGTTGTTGCCTATCAACTGCAACATCCTGCTCTCACAGTTGCCTGCAAAGAGTCCACAAGCAGGACAGTTCAACCACTCACAATCTCAGCTACTTTGCATATACTCAGAAATACTCTTAATTTCCTGTGAGGTTGAAGACATATATATAGAAAACACATACACCCATATGTGCACATATTCCTGCCACCAGTATACATCCTATTTCTCATGTTTTGCTTTATTCATGTCAGAGCTTGTGAAAGTTCCTTATACAGTGGTGCCCCACATGACGATAATCCGTTCTGGGAAAATCAACGTCCAGCGGAATTTCCCCATAGGAACAACTGTTCTGCGAATTGCTATAGCAATCGCAAAAAGTCACCGTCCTGTGGATTTGTCGTACAGCGGGGTCGTCATCTAGCGAGGTACCACTGTATGGGCAATATACCTCTATCTGCAGGTAGGGTAAGTCCAAATCATTTACCCAAGCTCTGATTAACACCAAGGAAACCATTCCAAAATGTATTCCAAAAATGTAAACATTTCAATAAATAAGCCGAGTAGAGGGTTTCCCTGAATGTCCAACATACCCTCTGGCTGCATCTTACGAAGCTGCACCCCGGGTGAGGTAATGGAGGCCACGGAGGCTGTGCGGAAATTGGCTGGCAGCATCTCAGCCGAATCAGGGCTGACGCCACGGAGGTCCTTTTCCCGGAACATCTTCCGCCAAGATGGGGAACGACTGAAGGTCTTGGCACTGTCCTGAGAGAGGCAGGACCCAAAGGATCACAGATAGGCAGGGGCAATTCATGTAGAAAACACAGTCTCTTAAAAGAAGACATTCTGGAAGGAGAAGGAACTCACCTCATCCAGTCTCCGGTCTGTTCCCATGGTGATGAGGTTTGTAAATTCTTTTTCCAACAATTGTCTAGCCTAAATGGAAGCAACACAAGTCCTGACCTTGTTCTTGCAATCTCTTTATGTTTCCCTAAAACACCATCTCTGCTTTTGACACTTCCTCCACCAGGAGGAGAGGAGACTGGGGATCTGGGGAACTCAGAAAATTGATGAAGGAAGACACTTTGTGCATATTTATTGGAAGTGAAGGGAATCAACTTGCCCATCTTAAACGCATTGGCAGGTGAAAGAAGGCTGCCGCTAGTTGTATAACTATGAGCCTCGTGGCGCAGTGGTTAAACCACTGTACTGCAGCCAAAACTGTGCTCATGACCTGGGATTCAATCCCAGGTAGCGGCTCAGGGTTGACTCAGCCTTCTATCCTTTTGAGGTCGGTAAAATGAGTACCCAGCTTGCTGGGAGGGGGCAATGTGTAGCCTGCATCATTAACTTGTATACCACCCAGAGAGTGCCTGAAGCACTATGGGGCGGTATATAAGCAGCACGCTTTTTGCTTTTGCTTTGCTTTTGCAGGCAGGGGAGGCAGCACTTGGAAAAATTACCCTTTTGGTTGACAACTCTCAGAATTTTCCCAGGCACCATAGCGATGTTGGCTGGGTGATTCTGGGATCTGTCATCCACAATGATGACTATGATTATGAAGATTATGTTGTTTCCAAGTACTCTGGGCTTTCAGTATTCCTTCTCCCACTATTTAGCGAAGGCTTAGGCTAAGTTCACTGTCTCCCACTCCATAGGCTTCTGGGCTCTCTCCCCTCTTTTGCTTAGCCTTTTCACACCTGCTCCTGACCTGTGTATTTTGGGTAGGGATCTGTAGCAGCAGGGCCAAATCGTTGCAATCAAAGGTGTCGTCCAAGGCAAGGAGCGCTCCATGCACCCCACTCTCGACCAGGTTGTTGGCAAACTCTTTCAGCCCAATCATTTGTACCCAGTACATGACACGCTCATTGGACCAGACCATCACATCTAGAAAGGGAGGGGAAGGGAATGAAGAGGAAAGAGTCTTAGTATCACAACACCCATAAACCTGCTGTGGATGTGGCTTGATGACCCAAAGCTTTGCCTCCCACCACACAATGAAGCTTGGAAAATCACTTTTAAAATCATCATAGCTACAGCTATAGTTCCAAGGCCCCCAAACTAATTAGTTACCAGGACAGTTGCCTTTCTGAACAAATACCTTTATTTTTCCATTTCTCAAAAGTGAGCAAATTGTTCGTTCTTAGGCACTTTAAAAAAAACATCTGAATGCCACAAGCCATTTGCTTTTGATGTGGACCACACTTTTATCTGCACCAAAATTACCTCAACATGTACAACAGAGTGTGAGACACCACCACAAGGATTACGGATTTTCCTTCACTACGGTTATGTAAGGTAGCCATAACCCTGACTATAAAAGTAACAAAAAGATTATACTTACACCAATATATTATTAAATTACAATACACCTGCAGTATAACATAGTTCCACTTTAGTTGTCATGTAAAGAAATACATTACAAGTAACTAGCAAATTATAACTAGTTGCTTCTAAGATCTCTCCCCCCTACCCACCTTTGATTTGGTTTTGACTTTCTTCCCGTCTTCTCTCCAGTTCCTTCCTATCATAGTTAAGACGCTTGAGGCACATTATCCCATAATGGAGGCTCACCCTGGGGAAGATACATATCACACCCAAGAAACAGCATTATCATTATAGCCAAGAAATTGGCTTGACCAAGAGCTGATTAGGGCCCCCCCCTTCTCCTATTTTAATGATCTGGCTGATTTCTCTGGCAGCAGCAGCAAAATACTTCAATTGGCACTGAGCACTTCATCCTGGGAGTTACTATTTACATTAACCACAATCTCCACGTTGCTTTGGGAAATAAAAATGGTGATTCTTGCATTCAACACCAACTGGAGAACTCAAACTAGAAGGCCATTTGAAAGAGGACTCATTACAGAGATCCAGAGTCCCATTCAGTCAAATGAACAAATGATCTTCTGACATGCCACATTTTGAAGTAAGTGAAACCATAGGCTGAAATCCAATTATTTCCCAAGTTTCCACTGATTTAACAGGCCTATTCTAGCATCTCAAGTGGGACATAAGACCATTACATGCAAGATTTTAAGATATCTGATTGTGCTACTAGAAGCATTGGAAACATTAGTCCAGTAGAGGCCCTGACAGTTGCCTGTGATGAGATATTAAGAATCTTGCATGCACTAACAGTGGGTATCGGTGGGAGGAGCTTTTCACAACTTATGATGGTGATCATTCTCTGCCACTAGCCTATTTCTAAAGTTCTTTTTCCCATCTCTGGGTTGCCCTTCCCCTCTTGCTGTTTGTTTGCTTTGCTTCCTTTTATTTGTTAGTCTCTCCCTCCTTTCTTGACCTCCAAGCATATAGCAGACATGGAGGACGTCTCTTCCACATGGTGGAGATTCCTTTTTTGCTATTTTTCTATCAGCTGTAACTATAGCTAGCAAATATAAGTAAAGAAACAATTTTTCTTCCTTTTAAATGCTTCCAGAATCATTTTTAACATTTAAAGTGATAGTCATTGTGAAAAGGGATGAGCTACTGAGACTTAAGCTATTCTGATACTCTGCTAAATGTAAGAGGAATTAACAGCGAAAGTGTGGCATGCTGTTATTAGGTCTAGGCTAAGTGGATAATTAATGAATTGATAAATTCTTGGTTCAGATCCTGCCCTTTACTGAACATTTGGAGAACTCCCCACTGATTTCAGAGCATTCAGCACATTCACTGAAAAGAATATACAATTTTCTTGTTACACTTTACCCAACATCATTTCCTGCTTTCTCACAAAATTACAGTTCTCATAATCTATTGTAGGGGGTAGAACTACAAGATGGAAACTCATATGTATCTAAGACTTGCAATCTTTTGGACCTATATACAGAATAAATCTTTGGAGTAAGTCTTACAACCACAGTGGAAATTAATTCTGAGCAAATTCACATAGAACCTCACTGCATATTCTATTTGTGATGAGGATACATGCTTTCTGCAGGTTCAAGTGCATATTTCTCTCTCACCTATGGAAGCTATCAACCATCTTAAGCTGACCCCGCAGTTCCTTCTTGTTAAGGTGGTCCAACATCCGAGCATCAACTAGTGACTCCATGAAATAGCTGCGGTACTGAGGCAAACCCAAGCTAGGCAGCCAATCATTTCCCACCCACTCATGGTTCATGTCACCGTATGCCAAGATCTGCAAAAAGAGAAGGAAAACACATTGTATGAGAGGCAGTGCATGCATTAAGTCTTTTCACTGGATGTGGTCCAACAACATCTGGATTTCTCTTGCTTTACACTGCCTTTCCTCCATTGTTCCAGTTAACCTAGGAATCAGAACTTTTAAAGATGGGGTTCAGTTCCCCACTTAACCTGAACACTCGTTCTGCAAATTTGGGGGCATGTCCTTATCCCATGGTCCCTGCTACTTCTCTGCCATCCCTGAAAGTTAGGGTGCCATGAGGAAGCAGATGCTTTACTGGCAACCATATTTATTAATTTAGTTAGTTATGTGCTGTCAAGTCGGAATTGACTTATAGCAGTGGAGGCAAACCTTTTTCAGCTCAAGTGCCCAAAATGTGGGTGTGGGGAAGAAACCAGTGGCTGCCGTGCCGCCTGGAACACCAGAACCGGAACAGGAAGTGGCAGTTTCAAGGGGAATCATGGGGATGGACAGGAAGTTAAAGGACCCAGAACAGGAAGAGAAAGGGGGAATCCCAGCTGCAGCCACTTCAAAAGGTTTGTTTCCACAAGCGCGGGTGGACAGGCCACTCACTCACGTGCCAGAAGAAAGGGCTTCACGTGCCAGATGTGGCACACGTGCCATAGGTTCGCCATCACTTACTTATAATGACACTAATAAGCCTTTCAAAGTATGTAAGATATTTAAGGAATGGTTTCGTCAGTTCCACTCTCCCCATCCCTCAGCTTCCATGGCCAAGGGGAGATTAGAACCCTGGCCTCTAGAGTCTCAGTCCATCAATCTATCCATTACACCACACTAGGCACATTAGTGA